CAGAGCAAAGATTGTATGTCGCAAGTAGGACTGTTTGATTTGTAGTAAAATCCAGAGAATCACACACAAAAAAGATCTTTTTACTTTTCTCTTTCTTCGGCATGTGATAAAAAAGTATTTATTTAATTCAGACTTTCCTAGTGCTAATGAACATCAGCCTCCAAAGATTATGAGGGTCAACACTAATGTTTCTAGTTAATTATGGGATTAAAATGATGTAATTTTTCAAGATGAAAAGCAGTAAACTAAAAAGGTTACATGGTAATTAAGTAGTAGGGTTCAAGTAGCCAGTAAAGGATAACAGAAAGATCTCTGGAAGTCAGTGGGGGCATCTTTCTTACTCTCTTATTAGAGGTTATTTTATCAGTGATATTGCAGTTATGTTTCCAGTTGATGTGCCCAGGATCGTTTGTGCTCATTGTGGATCTGACCTGTTTGTATTTCTAAAGAGAAACTTTTACAGGGTATGGAGTGCCCAGGAAGTACAGCCAACATATTTTAAACTGTAATTTTATGAACATGAGGAATTAGACGTGTAGTGTGGAGCACTGGGAATGGCTTTGGAAGAGTCTGTGGGTTTGGGGTTTCATTTTCTCTAGGGTTGATGGCCAGGTGGGATCTTCATCTTCCTCTTCTCAGCGGTGCGCCCACTGCAATCACTGCGAAGGGCAAGTGGTGCCCAACTGGCGTTTACCTTCTTCCACCAGGGCAAAGTTAATTTTTTTTTTTTTTTTTTAATTACTACTGCTTCTTTTTCTACTTATTCATCTGTTGTAATAGCATCTGTCTTTGTCTAGTTGACATTTGTTAAAGAACAAGCAGGAAACCCAAAATGGTACTTTTACTTGTTCAAATTTACATACTTTTGGTGAAATGGTGCTTCTTTTTACACTCTAGGGGAAGTGGGGAAACATTTTGCGAAGGGTTTCTTTTTATAGAGAAAAACTGATCTCTGAGTTTGGGGTGGAGTATGAGGTCTTGCTGTCACTGTTGTAAATAATCAATTTGAAAAAACAAGACAGGAACCAAAATGCAAACCAGTGCCCGCCTTCAGTGGGTGTGGGGCACTCAGAAATGCCCGTTGTTGTCAGGCAGACGGTGCAGTATTTATGGTCCTGCAGAGGCTGAGTGCTTTCCACTCCGATGCTCTGCAGTAACCCACATTATCTGAATTGGCTGGCTGTGGGCTTTTTGGTTTGGTTTTGGTTTTATGTGTGGCTTAGATTGTGAATGAGGAAGAAGCTGCCTTTAAAAAGGTTCTTGAATTCAGAGTTTAATTCCCTTGTTTATGTTGGTCTTTCGTTTCTAGATCCAGAATAGATGGGGCTGCATTTGGCAAAAAATGCTTGTCCTTTAATTTCTATGTAATTAATACCAGCTTTCAATTCATCTGTACTGGAATCCATTGAAAAAGAGATATTAGTGTGGCTTTTGTTCAGATTTACATGCTTTAAATAGAAAATCTGCCAATATAGTCAATTCTGCTCTCCTTACTCTTTCACAATAATTCTTCCCTCTTAATTGCAGTACCTTATGCAATAAATAGTCTCATGGGTTTCAGTAAGACTGCTTAGGGAATTGAATACCGCAGCTCTAAAAGAAATGGAAAAAATGAATAGTGCTTTTAAGAAGTTCAACATTTGGCAAAGTGCTTATAGTTTGTACGTATATCAAACATTCACTCTGTTTTGTTTACTTATGAATCTATTTAAATCATTACAGAAAACTGTCAGTGAGAATTATGTTAATGATGCTTTTTATGGCACCTGGTGTGACACTTGGGATCCTATTGATTAAATTCTACTTTAAAATTATATTTTAACCCTGAAAAGTAATTTTTATACTGCAAAATATTGTTTGAATTCCTTGAGTTTTTGTATGAAAAGTAAAAAGTATCTCTTAAATTTTACCACCTACACCAAAGGCAATCACATAGACATGGCTCATGCACATTTGAATTGGTGGTCAGACCTGCTCAATATTGCAAGCATATGAAATGTTTCTAATTTCTTTATTTCTTTATTTCCCTTGAGAGTCCTAATAGGAATTAACAATCCTTTGAGGGGACTTTTTTGAAAGCTGTTTTTCAAAAGTGGAGAAAGATCACAACAGCATATCAGGAGAGAGACCTCTGTGGGTTTTTTTAAGCTTTCCCTGTCCCTTCCTCCCTGACGTACCTGCCAAGATCATCCAGTGTCTTGCAGCTGTGTACCCTGTACATGTCCTTGCTGTGGTTTGCTGTCCTTGTAGATGAGCTCTAGTTCGGGTCACATGCCTATTCCTCTAGTGTATGTGAAAAACATAAACAGCAAAGGAGGAAAAAATTATATTCCTGTTTAGAAAATACCAGATTGAAGCAGAAAATGTGTTTTGTTTTAGGTAATGGGTAGAAATAACATCAACATTACAATTCTATTCTCTTTTTAAAATCTAGACAAACACTGTATCTCTGCTTTGTCCTGGATTTATCTAGGCTGTTCATTAGCAAGGCATGTCATTTTAAGAATGGCATTTAAGCAAGCCCAGCTGGTTTGCTTAGATTTAAATGAAGATCAGGTCAGCATGAAGCTTGTTGGAATTGCTCTTTGTGGAATTTTTCTAACGGGGACTTTTTAATCTGCCTTTGACTCTACTAAATTATTTTTTTTTCCTTTTAAATTAGCATGTTTAGAGAACTGCCTTTCTATTGGAGTTATATCATGGCTATCTCATTCCTTCACTCAGCAGGAGAAGAGCAAAACAGAAGTTGAAAGATTTATGTGTGTGAAAAAAAAAATCAACCAAACAAAAACCCATACCCTCCAAACAAACAAACAAAAAACCCCAAATCAAGTCATATTTCAGAGGAGACTGACTTTGCAAGTGACCATAAAATCTATCTGAAACAATTGTTTATTTTTATTTTTGTGTTTATTTAGTGGATATTGTTTGATCTTGCTGTTAATGGTGAAGACTGAGTTTGGGTTCCTTCATGAATGCATGAAGCTGAGGAATTTGTCTTCTGTTTATTTTATTTGGTTTTATTCCACTTAGAGCACTCCTCTGCCCTGTCTGTGCTTGTAAGTGTTTCCTTGTGGAGCCTTGTACAGATTGAACACTGATTGACATCCCCTTTACTGTCTGTCTTAGACTTGACTCTTGTCTGGCTCTATTGCTTTCCTTTCAGGAAATTGTTTTAATTTCTTTAATAGAGAAGACTGACATTTTCGGGTTTTTTTCAGCTTTTTGGTACAAAACATGGACATAGATGATAAGATTCTCGGCCCCTGTTACATGGCTGAAAGTGTTTTACAACTCCTTATAATTAAAAAATAATTTTCTGAAATCAAACTCTATAAGCATTTTGTTAGTTTCTTCAGCTGTGTTTTTGGTTATGTCCATGTTGAACTAGAGAATTCAATTCTCACTTCTTCGTCAACCTACATTTTAAGTAATACACAGGTTTACAATGTAGCTAGATTACAGTGTATTTACCTATTACATGTACAGGGTTTATATGCTTCTGTTTTATGAGCAGAAAACTGGACTGTGTTCTTCTTGCGCTCAGCATTGAAACTAGTATCGTCAAAGCTTTTAATCCTAAAGCAGAGAATTGACAACTGATGCCATTGTTTCTGTTGGTGCTATGGAGCTAGCAGTATGGTTGCAATCTACAGCCAATCCAGATTTTGACCAAACTTTTAGAGACTGTAATAGTCTCTTTTATAACATACAAGGATCAAATAATGAGTTCACTGATACACTGCACGTATCTTTGGATGTATGACTTCCAACCCCCCTTGCAAATAGTCACCAAAATTATTTCAGGCTACAGAACTGTCTTTCATATAGGAATGGTATCAATGTATCAAGAATATTTCCTTGGAAAAACAAGGAAGGCAAGGTGGTCTGGCATCACCCATCTTTCTTTACCAGATGCTATTGCTGTAACCACTGTAACATTGCTTAGGGCTTAATTCTCTTTAATCAGGTGTGCTGTCTTAAACATAGCAGAAGCAGTGGCTGTAGCTTAAAACAGTGCTTAAAATGGGGTTTGCATGTGGATAAGAACTCCATCATTTTCAAGACCTTGTGGTCATTCGGCTGCATGAATGTGGAACTACTTCTTCACTTCTGAGTCTGTTGTTTTGGTCCCTACTGGTCCTCAAACCCAGGACATTAAGTCTTAGGAAACGGAAGTTTTTTGAATGGAATCAAGAGTTACATAGTTCAAAGATAACAGAAGTTCATACTGTTCATTTATGAATGTGATTCCTGTAGAGACTTTTTAGCTTTCATGGGGATTCCAAAGTTGGACTCATAGTTACAAGTAATTTAGTTTTTTTACGAGTGGAATGGTGGTCTTTGAGTGTATGTAATGTAAGCTGTGTAATTAATCTCTAAAATGTATCGGAGACAGTTTATAAACTGGATGAATTTATGGATTGGTGTTTGGATCTGTGACAGCTTCGTATTTTAGCAGAAGAGTTTTGAGGACGAGCAAAGTCTTTGAGGCATTGCTCAACACCGTTTAAATTTATGGTTTAGAAAATTGTATTGACTGGGCAGCTTGCTGCCTTTAAGGACTTTGAATTTCTACTGTGCAAAAGGAGTCCTGAGGCAGTACTCTGGAAACTGATTTATGAAAAAGGCTCTGTTTGAAGAAGAATATTATGTGCTGCTCATCTCTGCAAGCTGCCCTGCTCTTTTCATTAGTTGGTGCTTCTCTAGGAGGCATTCCTCTCATGCTTTTGTTCTGTCCTTTTTTACCGCAACATGAAAGGAGATCCTCTGTTTTATGTGCTCTGAGGAGTTCCTTTCATCCTTCAAAGTGATTTTACTTATTTTGCAATGTAATCGCCTGTATGAGCTTGCTTTTGAGCTGTAAGGCTAAATATTACTTTGTTGTCAGGGATATAATGTTTGTGCATTTACAACATGTCATTGATTGATAACAGTAATGAAGTAAATAACTGAAGGATTTCACCTGTTTTCTTTTTTCATTCTTCTGTTTCTCACAGATTCATTGCTAAACCATGTGCCTTAGGCCTTAAAGTCCAAGCCAATGGACCACAGAAAGCTCAACCTAATGCTATCCTGGAAAAAGTTTTCACAGCTATTACAAAGGTAAAGCATTTAACTAAAATATTTACCTTACAGAGTTGGATATGGCACTATAAACTATATCTGAACAAAACAAAGCTAAATGCTAAATGCAGTGCTCGATTTTTACAGCTAAAATCAGAACATACGAATGTCAAGGTTGTCATTGGTATGCCAGCTTGAGCAGTTGTGCATCCCTTTGTGACAACTCCTATAAGCTTTTAATCAAAAAAAGTTGTTACAGAAACACTTTGTGTGTGTCATATGGCCATCTACTTTTTTTTTTTTGCTTCTTATCTTTTAGAAATTCCTATAAAATCATCAGATTTTTTTTGAAAAAAGAGTAAATTGTGAGCCAGTAAGATGGGGTAGGGGAAGAAGCTAGAAAAGTGGGGGGAACTGACTGAATCATGGTTTAGGGCTTGCAGATTTTTTCTGGTACAGTAAAAGTTCTTCCCCTACCACTTATGTCTCTGTCTCTACAGCTCTCACTGTATGACATCTCAGCTATGTCATCCTGTCTGTCCTTTTGAAGCATCCTGTTTTCCTGTAGCAGTGAGCAGTGATCAGGCATCCTTTAGCATCTCCTGAAGACCTCAGCGGTCAGCTGATTTGTAGTGGAAAGGCCTGTGGAGGCCTGAAGGACAAACAAAATTCCTGCAGGAACTTCCCAGTCCCACCTCAGCTCCAGGCTGCAACGGGGCATGCCACAGCAAAGGCATCAGCCTAAACTTCAGAGAGTAGTAGAGTCACAGAAGGCAAAATTGGGTTCAGTGTCAGGGACTGAATGTGCCATGAATCTTTCTTGCTTGTGTGTCATTCCCTATCCTGAGATCACCATGGCACTTGGTGTGGTTTTTGTCCTTGTTTACAGGGAGGGAGTCACACATACCTTGTTTCTAAAAGCTGTGGCACATGTGCTCTCACCTGACTCAGCTGAAGGAAGAATGGGATTTTTAATTTTTTTTTTTTAATTTTTAATTTTTCCTCACAGAATTTGCTAGTTTGACACAGGCCTGAGTGTGTGAAGTCATATAACCAATGTCTGTGAGTCATGGTAGGAGCTGACACACACGGCTTCCAGCACTCAGTGCACGGAGGCAAGTGGGAAGAGCTCCAAAGGAAAGCATCTACTTTCCTGCAAGAGTTTGGTAGTGCTGTCTGGTAGCTGCTCTCAGAGAAACTGTCCAATTTATCTAGCCGCCTTTTTTGAGTCACATGCAGCAGTTCTCTCTAGTCAAACTCCCAAGAGCTGCATCAATCTTTTGTTTTTTTTAAAGTTACAGGAAATGGCTTTTCTTAACCTTCTATTGAAAAACTAGTGGCTACTTCAGTGGACTAAAAAACTCTTTTTTTAATTTTTTGAGATGGATGGCAAATACTTCACCCTTCTTGTCTCATCCTTTACTTTCCCTTTCCTTCCTGTCTTTTCCTGGAGTCTGATAGATTAAACTTTTAACCTGATGAAAGCTTTGATGTTTTGCCTCTTGCTACATTTTGAAAAGTCTTTATCATGGCAGCTCTTGTATCTCATTCAATGTATGTAACTGGCTTGCAGAAATAAAGCTAGAGCTCCAGAAAACAGATTGTCCAAAAGCTTCTCCTGTTTCTTTAAAATAGAATATAATCAGGAGAAATATATAAATAGCCCTCATGCAGTACTGTACATGTAGAATTGCTGCATGATTAGAAATGTGTCTTGTACTGCTGTTCTCCATACAGTACTCAAATTAAGGACAGATTCATTTTCTTTTGCCTTACCTCTGCACTCGTTTGCAACCATTCTAATGGAATGAGAGTTCCACATTTGCTGCTTTGGAGAATAATTGTGTGTAGCTAATTTCACAGAAAAAAATTCTCTCTTCCTGTTGTCAAGGTGATTTTCTTTTTAAAGCTGTCACTTTGTTTAATGACCTCATTTTTAAACATTAACATGGACAAACATGGGAAAAGATCTTTTGATGTCAGGCAATCTTCACTACTTCAACAGTTGATAGGACAAAGATCCTGATGCAGGAGGATGGGACAGGCATAGTGTGTGGCAGGCAGGGGGTTGTTTGTAAGCCCCACTACTGGAGAAATGCATGGCATTTTATCCCTACTTATTATCACTTTCCAAGTTTCAAGCAAGTTTTCATCCTGTTGTCCCCTATAAGTTTTGTATTAGTAATAACCTGTATGCAATATTACAGCATATGTCCTTCTAGATTAGTAAGTCACTGTAAATGTATTTTGATGTGGATCTGCTAACAGAGATTTCTATGAAAGTAACTTTATGTATCCATGTGTCTAACAGTCATCCTCCAAGACATCAAGAGGCAATTACAGTGGTTCTAAATTTAAAGTGAAGTTACTGCAGTTGGACAAAGAACTAATTTTTATACTTCTCTGTTCTGTAGCATCCAGATGAGAAGAGGCTGGAGGGCCTCTCCAAGCAGCTGGACTGGGATGTACGCAGCATTCAACGTTGGTTTCGACAAAGACGCAACCAGGAAAAGCCCAGCACTCTTACAAAGTTCTGTGAGAGCATGTAAGGATGCCTGTTCTCTTCTTGAGTCTTCTTTAGTCTTTGTTCTCATCGGTTTTCTTCTTTGTTCTTCATGGGTATTTTTGTAGAGGGGTAGAAAATTATACAAATTGGTAGAATATGACTTCTTAAATGAGAAAAAACAATCTCCTTTCTCCTGAAGGAGTCAGACTCTACTTTGCCTGTACTTTAAATGGTGAAAAGCTTTCAGAAATCAGGTGGTTGGGATTCTCTACTGTCATGGTGCCAGCCTGATCCTCTGAAACAAATCATTTGGTGTTAGTGTGGGAAGCTGTCTTCACAACACAACTTTCAGCTATACAACCTGACAGAGATCTGAGATGGAGGAGTAAAGATAAAAGCCAATTGAGCTGTTAAACCCCTTCTTTGTTTTTTCTAATCCTAGGTTTGTCCCCTTTATTGGCCCATTCCCTTGGGTGCACTGAACTCTGAGAAGCTAAAGACTCCTAAGCTTTCTTTAGGAAGTTATTTTTCACCTGTCAGGGATTACTTCTAAGGAATCTTTCCCAGCAGCCAGCTGTTCTTCAAACTGGTTATTTACATAAAGGTCATTTTTCTAATTAGACTCCATTGTTTTTAGTATCTGAGTTACATTTCCATGCCAGCTGGATGGAACATATTAATACCTAATCTGCATTGAAAGAGCATGGAAAACTAAATCTACCTAAAATATTTATGTGTTTTTCTTAAAAGAGGCCTGATAGACATTGAATTCATAACAAAACACAAAGAACAACACTAGTTTATTTGAAATATTCATTAATTCCAAGACTTAGCCCTCTGGCATTGCTGGATGTTGTTCCCTGGATGTGGAAGGTCATGCATTTAAGGCAAATTTTATATGTTCCAAATCAAGAGACTTGGCAAATATTGCTGAGTGCGTAAACAAGTATCAGCTTTATTACACCCTGTTGGTCAAGTAGCTGTGTTGCTGCTGGCTTAAAACTCTAGTTACACTTTTGTTAGCTGGGAAGGAAGTGCTAGGTGAAAATGTCAGCAGAAATAGAGGAAGCCGATTTAAGTTAGAAAGCAAATCTTAGTTAATCTTGTTTTCCAAGGTTTTGTTGTTTTTTTTTTTTTTTGTTGTTGTTGTTGTTGTGGGTTTTTTTTTGTTTGTTTGGTTTTTGTTTTTTTTTTTTTTTTTTTACTATTCGTAACAATTCTTAAATGATTTCTTTAAGAAACTGCAAGCAAAGAAATCACAAAAATACTGCAGACCAGCCAGAAAGAGGAGGGAAGTATGTGTCTGTGTATATACATATAAAAAACCCCCCAAACTTGTGGAATATACTGTTGTCTCATTCATGCAGATTTCCTAAATATATTTCATACTTTTTCCTTATGTAGTTTTCCTAAGTATTTTCCTTAAGCTCCCTAAACTTTATTTTCCTGTGGTGACATAAAGAACAGTTCATAATATGATTCTGAATAAATAATGTATTAAGGCATTTTTTTCTAAAACCAAACCATAGATGAAGTGCTATTGGAGTAGCAGCTGATACTTATTTTCAACTAAAGACTGAATAGGAGAGAAATTAGAAGAGTTACTGTTAAGCATATTGTCTCTCTAGCTCAGAGAATTAGAGTCCTTTATTTTAGAAGAAGAAAGATAAATTGTCTAAAGATAATCGCCCTTTAATAAACAGAGGAACTTAACTGTCATAATTTTACAGCTAAAATCCACCCTCCTTAATATTTAATAAAGCCAGGCAGGGTAAGAATATGGATAAACCTAGCCATCTGTTTGCCAGCAGCTGGTGGTCTTAGACTTCCTAATTTTTGAGATCAGTGAAGAGCAACCTTTTTCCTACAAGGGTTGTAGCTCTTAATCTATACACTTTTCTGTTTAACTTGTAGAAAAAGCAGTGAAATATTGGAAAAAAAATAAAACTTTATTACTGTTAGAGCCAGCATATTTGGGCGGTATATTTGGCTGTTTCTATGACTCAGGTCAAAGACTTCACTCTCTTGCATTAGTGCCAGCATATTTGGCCTGACCTAGAGGTAGAAAAAACTTAAACGTACCATGACATACAGGCACAGATAGGAAAATTATGGGTGCTGAACTTGCTTCTTTGTAGTATACATTATGGAAAAAGTGTGCAGATGAGAACTATGAATGCAAACTGGAAGGTAAGGTCAAGCTGTGATCAATGTCATTAACTTATGCTGACAGAATTAAGTGCCAGCTTCATTTAGAGAGTGCCATTGGGCATTACTGTGATATGTGTAATTAGTAGTAATGATAATACTTGTCCAAAAAGAAGCAAGATGGCATAAATAAGTGGATAGTTCAGGTTCTCTCTGCTGGTGGTTTGCAGTAGGTGCATGTGGGAGTTGTCTCTCCATCTCTGTACGTACATGCTGCTGTGAGAATGTGATGTTATCCAACCAGCCATGTGTGCATCGCCCTGATAGCATTTCCAGTTGTACAGTGTGTGCCACCAGGTGCCCTGTCACACATGCTGAATGGAGTTGTTGGCACATAGTCAGAATAGCACAAGGAAGCCAGGGATACCTTTTTTTCCCCTCAGTATGGGTGTTACACGGTTCTCTAGTTAAATCTATTCATCAGGGCACTAAGCGAGGTGCTTCAGTATGTTTGGAGCAAAGAAATCCTTCTGTATGAGGTCTACAGCCTTTTCACAGATACTGAGTTAATGGGGTGGCTTTTTGGATGAAGAGTCCATGTGTGGCAGCTGCTTTGGACCTCCAGGCTGCATAAAGCACATGTTGCCATGACAGTCATGAGAAGGGGAGCACTCCAAGTCTTCAATAACTGGGGCGCCAATGGAGAGTTTCATAGCCCTGACAGTGAACAAAATGTGCCCTTATGTAATAAGCAGGCACACAGCAAGCAAAATGACAGTGATCCCCACCTACACTTTCAACTGTTGAGCTGCTGTTGTCCTTCCAGACATTCAGTTTTGCTGGCAACTGCATTGATTGACTGTGACTTGGGAAGAAAAGTGACAGAACCCACAGCAAATGTGGAGCTGCTTAAAAAGAGCTCCAACTCTTTTTACATGGAGATGATTCAATTTACTGTTAGAAAAAGTGTTCCTTGGGGCCAGAGTGGCTTTTCCATGATGAAAAGGAGAAGGCAGCTGTGCCAGAAGGGCTGTAGTCCATTTCTGACTGCCTTATCTTTCTGGCCAAATGAATAGTGTGGGTACTGTCTAAGGTAGAGGAGCTTCAGTAGGACAAAGGCTGAGAGTGAAACTCAATGATAAACATGCTTGGCTGGGATGAATGACACCCAAGATCCAGGCCCAAAGAGACTGTAACTGTAACTTAGTTGTAAGATTCTTCTTGTCCCAGATTTCTCACTTTCTCTACCCTTCCCCTTCTTTTTCTTTTCAAGCAACTTCAATTCTGGTCCTAAACAGGGTGCAGAGAAACTTCAGAACCTGCACATTTTTTGTTTTCAAAATGGAACAATTCATTTGTTGCCAGCCTTTGTCAGAGATCCTAGACGTTAGTAGAAGGTGGTTATATGAATCAAAGAGGCAATAACAAAATCTCCTGTCTATAGACACTGTTTGTGCCACAGCACTGTCATGAAAATGAATTACTTTTCAGGGATCTTAACCAGCAATCACCCCACAGAGTTTTGTGTGTCCATCTGAAAGAGAAGGTGCTATTTGATTGTCAGAGCTGTGGAGACCACTAGTGGTCAGTCTTCAGTGGCATCACATCCTCGCTTAAGATTTCAGATGTTATGGTGATAAGTACCTATATGAAATACGAAATAAATAATTTCACCAGGTGATGATTCGTGATCCAGTAGATCTAGTCAAAAAGATCTGATATAATAATGGGGTGCTGAGGATTATTTTACTAGCAAGTCAATGGGTTGTTTCTAAAGGATTTGGTGATTCTGACATGAAACTTGGAGTTAACAGCACAGTGTTTGTAGTCACTAAGAAAGGCATCCACCTAATATAGCCTCAGATTGTAATTCTCAGGCACTTAGCTTACTATATTAGCTGCAGGGGAGAGTCTGTCCATAGCTTTTCTTCCCCTTGTGAGAATTTAGACAGTTTTGCTCCTTTCTCCAACTTGAAAGATGCAAGGTGCATAAAGGAGAAGAAAAAGGGGTGAACTGAGTGCGCAAAGTAGACCATGCATTTCTCTTGCTCTTTTTCCTTTTTCTCTGTCCCCATGGGACAGCGTATCATCGAAGAAAAACAAGCTTTCTCCAGAATAAGAGTAGGGTAAGGACTTTGTGCTCTGCACTTTGAGTATGCAGTGCATGAGGAAACACAGAAAGTGAATTACCTTGAATCTTTTCTGAAGCTTGTGTGGTTTCTGTGTTATTCATGGAGAGTATCTGCAGTACTTTACAGGGCTAAAAGTTGTTTCTGCAGAGGACTGTCAATCTATTTATAGTCAGTTGATATAAATTGGACCAAATTCTCTAACGACTCTGCTGAAGCATAGTTCTAGCACAGAAATGTATTAAAAAAAAAATAATAATAAAAAAAAGGTGTCTGACCACAAATAAGTTCCCAAAAATGTCTTAAGGAAGAATGTTGCATCTGAATATAGTGGAGTGAGAATTCCAGGCATGGAATACCCTCAAGCTAGTGGGGAAACAGCTCCAAGGTGTGCTGGGGATGGCTGGGAAGATATAATTGTTGGAAAACCATGAATAGTGACTTTGCTGATTGCCAAAAAGAATACAGGATCCAAGAATGTCTTTGTTAATGTCTGACATGTCAGAAAGCCAATGCAGTATTGATTCCCAAACCACTTGAAGTTTCTTCCCAGTTTCAAGGAATTGTGCTGCTGCTTAAGCTAGCAGTGCGTAGGCATGTCTACTTTTCTCAAAGACTAAATAGTATAGAAAGAGCAAGCGTCCTGCCCTCTTCCCTTGTTGACTGGAGCAAAGGGAAAGAACCTGTCATGCCCGAAGTTATTAGCCTGGGACTTTGGAATGTCATCAGGCTCATGACTTGTCTGTCCTACAGCTATGTACC